GAGAGATCTTTCGAAACTCTTCATTCTTCAATTGGTATGGACCTAAAATTTTGTATTTTCTGTTGTCTAGTACATCACAGTTGGTGATCAGATGTTCCTTAGACTCTTCCTCGTCACAGCAGAATCTGTAAATATTTGTGTCAGATATACCTATTTTGTGTAGGTGTTTATTGCAAAAGGCGTAGCCTGTTAGTGTATCTGAGAATAATTTTAGACTCTTCTTGTTTAGATTGAGAATAATGTCTGGTCTTTTGGTGTCAAAATTTAAAAATCTTCTAGAGTGATTTAGGTCATCTGTGCCATTCCAAAATTGTGTGAATTTTTTGTTGTGTCCATTTTTTGGTTTTGTGTTGTTTTTTTTAAAGCCAAAAAGGGGGTTGGACCGATGAATGATTCTTTTGCCCCTTTTATGACATTAGGGCCCGCCTTTTCATTGTTTTCGTGTGCTTTATGTTCGAGTACCCAAATCAGAGAGACCTGTTCGTAGGTGGCCAGCTGATTGAGTGCATTGTTGCACTCCATAAGGATTTTTGATGTGAATTATAGCCTACCTTATATAGATCATATATTAAATGATTGCTTTACTTTTGATTCTATTGAAAAATATATATTTTTAAATATTATACCTACTATCCCTGTTAAATAAAGTTACTATTGAAAATATACTTTTCTAATATAGTCAATAAAATTTAATTTATAATATACGAGGTGAATGCATTGCTAGCTAGTGCTCGTTTTAGTTTTAGAATTTTATATATTGTATTTAATTATAATAAATAAATAAATAATAATAAACTACATGTTAACAATTTATATATGACAATGAGTACTTAAAAAATCAAAAAATTTTGCGTTTCTTAGTTGTTCTAGGCTTATAAAACAACAGCTGTTTCGTAAGTATTGGGCTAAATACCCATCATTAGTAACTCTTTTGGAAAAATAATTTACTGTAATTTAATTGTTCGTACATAATTTTTTGAGAATTGCAAAGTACCAGAATCGAAACTCGTGCCCCCCGCCAAATTTAAAATTGAAGCAAATAATTATAAAAATCACAATAAAATACAAGTGGTTTTACTAATTGACTCTCTAATTGTTTTATCAATTTATGCAATTTGACCATTTAATCCATTCAGAAAATATATAAATAAAAATTTGCTTCATTAAGCGCCGTGTGCAAGTTCGAGTAAATGAGGTAAACTAAAATTGAAATTTTTCTCTAGCGGATTTTTTGCACTGCACTTATGTTACATATTTAGTTATTTATTTATTGCACTCAATTTATTATTTTTGGTTAAAAGTTTTCAAATTTATTTATTTATTTATTAAACATCTTATAAAATTTTTACAATCGTAACACCTAATTTACATAATTTTAATCTAATTTACCCTACTCGAAATTCTGGTAATTACCAATATTCGCTGGCATATCGATATAGTTAACTTTTTCTCTCAATTTACCATTAATTTACTCGAACTCGCACACGGCCTAAAACAATAACTTTTGAAATAATTTTAACACCATAAAAGTTTATATATTAATATATATTCATATATATATATTTATATTAATATGTATATTATATATGTATATATATATATATCAATAAATTTATCGTAATAAAATGAGAATGTCTTTTGATATAAAAACTTGTGGCAACACTAAAATTTTCATTCATTTTGTTTTCATTTTCATACTATGTCCGTTTGTTGATAAATTTTACGGTAAAAGGAAAAGATAAAAGGAAAAATCAAATTCACCCTTAAGGCAATGACATACTCGCAAACTTGCAGATGTGGAAATTAATTTAGTGTGCCCAACCACCCACTGAACATGTACACTCACAGACACACGCACACTAGCCAAACAGAGAGACACATAACAAAGTTACTCTCATCATAAACGCACACATTCATAGACAAATACAGTTAAGCAACAAAGTTGTACACGCGAACATAAAACATTTGCAAAGCACAACAAACCGTAAAGCATCCTGCGAAACAACTTACAGCGCGGAATGTGGGTCCGCATAAACCAAATTTCGATTTATGACCAACACATGGAAAATGAACGTAAGTAATGAGTATGAGCGCGAGAGCATGCATAATGTAGACAATGTAGACTGTGTAGACAGTGTAGACGTAAAAGGAAGGCAAGGATATTATGGTAAGGAATCGTTCGTTCGTTATACACGGCGCTACAACGACAAACAAAGAAAGCAGCATGAGCGGGAGTCGAAGCAGGAGCACTGACGTTGGGTGGCAAATAAACTTTCGCACTGACAGCAACTTTCAGCCAACATAAATAAAAAAGTTTTTCATTCCGACGACTGCGAAAACGGCGAATGACACGAAATACCGAAAGAAAAAATCTAGTCACGGGGAGTAAATCTGTGAAAAATTGCAAATTTTTATAGAAAAAATTCAATAAAATGCCTATGGTATATTAAAAAATAATAATATAAAGTGCGTGTGGTATTTATTTTTATATTTCAAATATTTCAAAAGCGTGTGAAGTGTCTATAAAATGAAAATATGATGTGCAAAAATTTATAAGGAAGCAACCAACCACATTGAAGTGAAAGGATAAAAAATTTTTTGTTCTCCACAACTAATCGACGACAACGGAAATGGTTGCGTTTCCAACGCGTACAGACTGTAACGCGTTATTCGACAAAGGTGACACTGGAATATAGAAAGAAAACAATTAAAAATTGTTTTATATTTTTCACGGAATAAGACAGGCTCAATAAACGTGCATATCCGGTTTTGTATACGTAAATGGGCGTTGTACCCACAACGCTAGTCCCTTAAACAATAATTTAAATTTTGTCTAATTTTAAATAAGTGAACCTTTGAAATTCATTCCAAGCCGGAAGTGCAATCCAATGATCAGTTTCACTAAAGTCTAACCAACAATTTTCAGGGAGTGTACCAAAGAAACAAAAAAAAATTTATACAACGACAAAGCAACTTTGCACAAAGTCCTGTGTTGAGTACGCCGCGGCGCGTCGCGGATCGAAACGTCGCGGGTGTAGATATACAAAAAGGAAAACAACAGCAAGAAAGAATAATGCGAAAAAATTTCGGAATTGAAATCTCATATGAGAATTGTGTTTTCTGTGTGTAACTATGTTGTGAAGACAAGGGGGGCAGGACGAAGAAAACTAACAAAGAAAACGAAAACAAAAATACTGAAACAGAAGCTGAAGCAGAAACAGAAACAGAAACATTAAAAACCAAAAAGTAAAAAGTAAAAAGTAGAAAGCAAAAGATGTCAGCTTCCTCCGAGACTAGGATATGTGGAACTATTCGCAAGGGGTAAAGTGAGGAAACTACGGAAATATACAAAAGTATTTTCACTTGAATGGGTAAAGTGAAAAAACGAAAAAAAATAAATGAAATAAAACATAAAAATAAAAAATAAAAATAAAACAGAATAAGTGATAAAATATTTTTTGTTATGCGAGCGAAATAATAAAAAAGAAAAAAAAATTAGCAAACTTTGGAACGTAGTTTTGGAAGTGTGGGGAGTAAGTGGTGGTGGTAATAAATTTAGCAAAAAAACACAAAAAAAAAAGAAAAACAAAAAAAAATTTGTTTACATATTAATTCTTTCTTCCATTCAGTGATTTAGTAAAAATATTAAAAATTTATTTTCTAAAACAAAACGAAATGTCCAAGTCGAACGCCGATTTTAGTGCGTTCGACTTTAATGACAGTTCCGATAATTCCGATATACAAACACGTGGTCCCTACCTAAGTCGTGCCAGTCTTAGCAATAATTCCTTAGTAAACAATAACACCAATAACTCAGCCAGCTCCTCGTCCAGTAACAATGGCAACTCAAATGATTCACAGAATCTTAACAATGTGGGCGGTACAAATGATGAGCACGGCATTGCCGGTGGCTCACAAATTGATACCGATATCCGTGAACATGATGGTGACATTAACGGGAACAATAGTAACGATGGCAATTCAACTATTGGCAATGGTACGCATACGAATGCAAATAATACCGATGGTTTGTTAATGGGTGCTATGGGTCCACATGGTGGCACAATCAACACAGCAGCCGGAACTGTTAGCAATGCTATGGAATCCAATAATAGTAATTGTGCTGTTGCTGGGTTACTTGATGGTGCACTCGGTGGCAGTAGTAACAATTGCAATAATGAACTCGTTCGCAGCAGTAGCGCTAGCTTAAGTAACAACAGTACATCTACCAATCATGGTGGAGGCACTGGCGGTGGCCTAGGTGGGGGTGGCGGTGGCGGTAGCAGTTTATGTAGTGTTGGTGGAGGTTCTGTTGCTGGTTCTACTTCGGCGAGTGAACGTAAAAAATATCGACATCAGAATTACAGCAAAAATATTTATATTGGCACAAAAAATGCAGAAAAATGGGAACACACACGTTCTCGTTTGCAGTTCAAAAACGACGTTGAGTTCGTGGCGTATCTTTTGAACTTGGCTGATAAGGATACCGAACGTTTAGCAAAGTAAGTAAATACTATGGAATTTTTATTTTTATTTGAAAATGAATTTTAATAATAAAATTCTATGAAAATTTTGGGAACATTTTACAAAATTGTAAATACAATTTTTTGAATTTTTTTTGGAAATTTTGATACTTCATTTAAAAAAAAGAAAGCTTTATCTTTTCAAATTTTATACCTATGATACGAGTACAGCAAATGTACTTGCAATTTACTGGAATTATCAACATATCCATTATCTCCAATGCAAAAATAGACACTATCACTTCAATAGGTTATAAGTGGGACTATTTCGAAAATTCTTCTCTAAGCACAACAGTTTATTGCTGGAATATGGTACGCGATAGGTAGAGTGCTCAAATAGCAAGACAATGAAGGTTTGAAATACTAAGAAAAAAACCATATTTAAAAAACTTTACAAAAGTTTAAGCTAAAAAAATCAAACAAATTAAAAAAATAGATTTTAAATCACTATAAATAGAATCCTTCTTACTTGAATTTAAATGGCCATAACAACCCGTTACCGGGTTTCGACCTAAAGCATATCTCTCCAGGCTCGTGTTCTATTAGACACTTGTTTTATGTACGATTGTGATTAGTTAAGGTCACAGTGATATTACGCTTTTAAAACTTTCCTATCCAATTATTTCATTATAGGCCGATATGTCGATAAAAATTTAATAATGTAATTTATTTTTGCTGAATGTATATAAAATCTTGGGGTGCTATCATATAAATTAGTTTATTACGATAGTATTTTCAAAGTGATTGATTTTTTCTTGCTCCTACCAAAGATTATTTTATTAAATGGTAAAAATTGGAATTCAAACTAAACAAACAAAAATACTACTAAAACAATCCATAAGAATCTCATTTATCTCTACGGTATAGTTTTATAGACGCTTTAGTGTCAAAACATTTCAGTCAAGTAGTACAGACTACATGAAAACGATCTTGAGAACATAAATGAAGAGGAACAGTTTGACGTGGTCCATCGAAACTTAACTTAGCATCGTGCGACTACTAACTTTCGGAAGATAGTGGTATTTTGGTAATTTTTCTGAATGAATTTTCAAGGTAACCAACTTTTACTGAGAATGGACTTTTGTGTCTTTAATAACAGTTGTACTACTAACTTGCTTGTCAATTTATACGATTATTATAATATTCTTGGTTATAGAAATTGTTACTTTTAACAATTGAATTTATTTTAATAGATTCAAGCTTATTTAATATTGATGTGCAATCTAAAAATTGTAATAAAAAACTAATAACAAAATTAATAAAATGCTTATTATATAGTTCCTGTTATATAATATATGTGAATATAGAAATATATATCTGTAGTCAAAATTTCCAATTATCAATAAAAAAATTAACAAAAAATATGTACGTATTGCAATTTCTAAGATTTTTTTTCATTACATTCTAATAAACACATCTGTTTACATTCTTGTTAAAAGCTTGATCTGGTTCAATCATTCGATTTCGTCTGATCTATTTATAAACCTGCCAAATGAAGTAATAAAGGTATTTGAATATTGATATAGTAATTAAAGTAATGGAATATGAATGGTGAATATTCATTTTCAATATTAACTGAAAAAGAGCAAATCAGGTATACGAGTATACCGAAAATAATTTCTAATAATAATTATTTTAAATAGCTGAAATCATATATCGCTTTTCAGATCTGTAAATTTTCTTTAATTTTTGGTGTCTTTGATGGATATTGATAGATCAAAATTCATTTTCTAAAAATGTTCGCTCATTTTGTGCTATATATATATAAATATATAGTACGGATTGTAACCAAGTTTATGATACACATCTAAATAATTAATAACCGTAATATGTACATGTTTTTTCGCCAATTCAGCAAGCTATGAAATACTTTAATCCTTTTAAAACATTCTGAACCCATTATTTAGAGATGAATTTAGAGAAAAAAGTAGAAATAATACTTTATCTCTCTATAATCTCAGTCTTAATTTGTAAAATATCAGTAATCTGTTATCATATCACAAGAATGAATATGAATTTTTTGGCTAAACTGATATTGAATTAATTGCTAAATATTTCCAACTTTTTTTAAAGGTTATGATGTCATAGTACTTGTTACCAAGTGTGCAGATTAGCAATAGGTAAATTGATAGATTTCTTAAAACCAGCTTTCTCGAAAACAAAACCTACAAGATATTTTGTCAAATATGCTAAAAAAATGTATTGATGTAACTGGTTATATGTGATTTTTATGACTTGATTTTTTGTTGATTGATCAAAAAACGTTTTAGCCTTTCCAATGTCACAGCTAGACTGCATAGCCAAACGAATCTGACGACAATACTAATATTCGAAATTGGGGTTTCTTAGCTAACTAGTTTGCTACTAGTTTTCAAGTTGCACACGCATTCCTTAATAAGACTCTATCAACTTTTTTTGTAACTAATATCACTTAACTCTAGATGGTATCGCTAAGCGTCTACGGATCATTGTGCGGTATACCCGTCCTCAAAAAATTTAACCCATCTTAGAAATTATATGATTTTTTTTAAACTTTTTAATCATTTTTATTACGTTGATTGAAAATGATTGCAGAACGAGATCTTGTATGGAAGTAGATAACATATTTAATAGGAATATGTAGTATACATATTAACAGACAGTCAAACTGCTTTAAAGTTCTTGAAGTTCAATCCAATTTACATGTAGGGTAGTTTTTGACTGCTAAACATGATGTTGAACGCTACTTGGCAAACTGCAAGGTAGACGAGCTAGCCAGTTAGAGTACTTCAGGTAATCACTCGGAATACCTAAATATCAACGTACATCGTTGACATCATGTAAAATTTTGCTGAATTCTTTCTGTATTGAAGAAAATAATAAATGATGGGAAAACTTAATGATATGTAGGCAGTTTTAAACTAGTTAGATTTGTTATTTTTAGAAAAAAAACCACCAATATAAAAAATGTAGATACCCCAAAAAGATATTAGTTTTATGGTCGGTTTGTTGACGAGTCGCAGTCGATTAGAAAACCATACTAAAAGATTGGATCTCCCTTCCATTTTTTTTGTAGTTGTGGAGAGAACAATAAAGCAGTTCGCATCTGCAATCTCCAGGACCTCTTTTTTCTCTCTAGAACCTCTCTCTAAAGAGCATATTAAGCTTCGGTGAAGGTTCAAGGTGATTTTTAAACCTCTGAGTCTTTTATACTAAGTGAATTCTTAGGGTTGCCGGTATAACCACACGAAGGTTGTGAAAGGTGAATGGTTTAATTCCATCAATAAAAGGGAAGCTATTATTTAATTTAGGGAACTAAACCTTATAATTACTGTTATTTACATGAGAGAACCCTCCTATTATCAATTATTATAAATTCCTATTCGTATTATTCCTATTCCTATCCTATTCTATTATCAATAGGAAGGTTCTTAATAATTTGAAGCTCCTCGATAATAGTATGATCTCTCTTTATCATTACCATAATGTTATATGATGATTTATATGATACATGTTTTGTGAAATTATTCTCTTTTTTCCTATTCGTCTTTTATTGCTTTTGTTATTGTTGTTTCAGTAAATCAAACTGAAATTCGCAGCATAATAGTTAAATCCAAAGTATTAAAATTATTGGAATATTCCTGCTGTGTTTACAAAATATTTTAATATAATTTCCTTGTTGGCTTGTCTTTATTTTTAAAATAAATAAAACGTAAACATAACAAACCAAAAAATAGAAATAATATGAAAAAAAAAACCATAAAAGAAATCTAAAAATGAAATGAAAGGAAAAATATAAAAGAAAATATAAAAACGATTCATGCCCGGTTGAATCGCATAAACTTGCCGCCGTCACAAAAGCACCGCTCATGCGGTTGCTTGACTCTTTACATTGCGCTTTTCATGCTGCAATGCTGTGTTGGTCTACCTTTGCCTACCTCTGCCTTCCCGCCTTCTTGCCAACCCAACTGAATGCTGTTGGCTTACTTGTCTACATTTGCACTAACTACGTTCGCTATGCGTATGATGTACATGCTGAAGCTGTGTCAGCGGAAGCGGAAATAAAAATACAAACGCAACGTAACGAAACGAAATAATACGTAACGACGATAACAACAACTACAACAACAACAACAACAACAACAACAGCAGCAGCAACGGTACATCAGAAGCAAGAACAACAAGCAGAGAGGTTTTTACGCGGTAAAACAGTGCAGCGTTGTGAGTTGCTTTTTTACTTTTTAGTAATACAGTACACAGTATTTTCACTGGCACTGCGCTGGCAAACAAATGTGAATTTGTAAATTTGTATTTTGTGAATATATACGAGTGCACTTACATACAAATGTGCATATTTGTTTGTGTTCAGTGTGCTCATTCGGTATAAAGCGATAAGAATACAGTGTGGCAAATTTCAATTGCAAACGCACAGATTTCCTATGTGAATTTTACCATACGGTTGCACATTATAAACATACACACACGCACGCATATATGCATGCAATCCATATACATATACATATATGGTATATTTATGTATGCCACGACAATAACTTGCTGTCTCAGACTTCGACTCGTACAAGCGAATGAACAAATTCTATGTAAAAAGACGTAAGCACAAAATTGTGCGGCCATATACAATAGGAACTAAGGGAATTCGAGGAAATTCATCAGCACATTTATGACAACGTTATATTTACAACAACAACAACAACAACAATAACAACAAAACAACTACAACCACAACAGTCCAAATGCAAAAGTAAAATTATGTGCCATTATATTTAATGCCACCTAGCTCCAACCCCTTAAGTGCTAAGCTTTAAGCTAACATGCTTGCTTGCATGCCTTCATGCCTATATGAACGACAACAAGATGGATGTACACACATAATATAATAGGTAAAACTGTATATGCAAATCTTAATGTGTTTGTGTGCTTGTTTTCTATGATGGTCTTCGCATTATTGTAATATGCACAAATGTACACAACTCAATTCGTTGATTCTTGAATTGTAGGAGTCTGCGATGAATTTCGCTGGGCGAGTATTGGGCGCCGATATTTGTAACGCACTAACGGCGCAATTGCACATAAACACAACACAGCAAAACACAGCAGAACACAGCATAACACGGCAGCAATAACAATAACAGTAACAACAATAAGAACAAAACCAAAAACAAAAAAACAGTTACATCAGTTAAGGACAGCACACAGTGGTAGCGAGCGAAAACGTCAGCGAAAACAGTAACAACAAATGTGAATTGGCAAATTCTCGAAATTGATGCCACTCCAATGTGTTGGTCCTATTGCTGCTATTGTTATTGTTGTTGTTGTTGTTATTTTTAGTATTGCTTTTGCTATTGCTGTTGCGATTGGTATTAACAGTGCACACACAACTCAAAATGAAAGTATAAGAAAAATCAATTAAACGCAGTGCAGGACTTTCTATTAATGTTTATCGTGTCGTTGTAGACATTCTACTTTCCACAGGCGAAACTACAATTTTTCTCTCCTCTATCCTCATTATTTTTTTTCGTTGCTAAATCTTTCAATGTCTTCCTTAAGATTACATACAGTGTATAATTTTTTTTGATTCTACCACTTCTACTACATTTTATTTATGTATGTATATCGTATGTTATATATATATATATATATATGTGTGAGCATATGTTCAATATTTGATACAAATAAACACAATGAGAATTGCGCTCATCTATGCATGAACTAATTTTTATATTGTTGTTAACGAAAGAGCGCTCTGGCACCAAAGCTAATTAACTGTAGTTGATTATATATGTATATTTGCACGTGTGTTTGTATATACATTCCTTCCTTCATACTATATGTATGTATTGTAGTTAATGTTTATTTGTGCTGCTCATAAAATGAGTTTTTATGACGATGACAAAATAGTTGGGGTGTGTATGGATTGTGCTTAAGGATAATCTAAATTATTGCAGAAATATATTTGCTACATTTCATCGAGAGCAACAACAATTCTTATATAAATAAAATAATTGCAATTTATTTGTATATCAACCAGAAGATGTTTTATATATTTACCATTAGTTATTGTTCATCAATATTTCTTATATTGATACAAAATTTCTGTTAGCGACGCCTTTAAGTATGCAACACAATTTTTTTTATGTCGTTCAAAAAAGAAAGTGAAGAGCTGAACTATGATAGAAGGGCATAACACTTAAAAGAGTATTATTATTTATCGATTATGCGGTTATAATTTCCTCAAAAATATGAAAATTTACAGATATATATACTTATATTATAGCGATTTATAGACTATATAAAAAAAAAAAAAACTTATATATGGTTTCAAAGCTGTAAAAATGTTGCTAAATTATATATACATATATATTTGTGACCTGGCAGATTATGAAAACATATTTTTATTGATTTGAAAAGTTCTGTAGAAGAATAAAATATGAAAAAGTGTAGCTAAGTTCTAGAGAAGGAATTAAAAACAAAGATGATTTCAATGATAAAAAAGATGAAAATTTACAGATATATATACTTATATTTCATAATCACATAAAAGATCACTATATTATAATATAGTGATTTATAAACCAAATCAAAAACAAAAAGAATGAACATTAAAACTTTTAAAAGGTTTTAAAACTGTAAAAATGTTGCCAGATGATATATATATTTCTGATATGACAGATTATGAAAACATATTTGTATATTCTTATTGATTTGAAGAGTTTTGTAGAAGAATAAAATATGAAAAAGTATAGCCAAGTTCCACAGAAGGAAGAAAATTCAAAGATACTTTTTTGAAATAGAAATTTTCGATTCATTACCTATAAGATAGATTTCCATAAAGTAAAGTATAACAAACCTTAGAAAGTACTAAACAAATTAGATTTTGATTACAACATAATGCAATGCATTTCTATGTTGGAAACAATCCAATATATTGGAACCAAAACATAAGGCATAGAAATGAAAAATGTAAAAATCCTTAAAGGGGTGTTTTAGCAGATCAAAATGTAGAGTTACAAAAAAAATTCGAAAATGTTATGGACCTAACTTCTAACAAAAATCAGGCATCTAACACAGAAAACAGGCATAAAAAATTGTTGATAAGAAAAGAACAACGAAAAGTGAACTATTTTCGATATGTGAAGCTTGAACCCGATTTTTTCTATTTAGAAAAAAAATAAATTTAACTATTCAGGCTCAAAAACATCTGAAACTGAACTGGACATTAGAAGAATTAATGCACTGCACAGAACAAAAAATAAACATATTTCAATCTAATATCAAGAGATGTAGTAAAATACATATGATGGCCATATCCTTGTGAACGATCGTGTTTATACTCGTTTTATAATACGGTATAAAAATTTTTAAATAAAGTTTTTTATCTACAGTCACTATCGTTTACATATGGTTATATTAAATCTCTATAGCACGTTGTGATTTATTTGAAAACAAGGTTTTTAGTAACTAATTTTAAGAAATATTTTAAACGTTTTTCCTTCTTTTTCTTGAAAATATGTTAAGCATATTTATATTTTCTCTCTTGGGCTGTGAAACTAATCAGAATTCATTTTCATATGAACACAGTCCACCATACTTTATCATCTATCACTATCTTACAGCATAATCTTAACATGCATATATTTCAATATATGTATCAAAATCTAACCTAACAAGAATCTAAATCTGTAAAATATATAAAATATATAAATCCGCGTAGTGTATGTATATATAATATTCCTCTTCAGTAGAAAGCAGCTAGGGTTACTAACAGGTTGACAGTTGTTACATCTTCACTTGTCTCAACCGTCTCATTATCGTCTCAACAAGATGTGTTTATTTGAGATGCGTCTTCCAGTTTTTCACTTTGTGACTATCCAGGTTTGAAATTTGACCTGAAAGAGTATGCTGGATAGGGAACTTATATTCTGATATGATATTCAAAAATGTATGTTTTGGCCTTTCGTGCGCTTTCTTGGCCTTTTTGCAAGTAATTATTTTTGAACCGGCATTTTTTATTTAATCCTTTTATTCCTAGGTGGAACAGAGGGCCATCATATTTGAACCGGCATTGGTGGGTTTCAAATATACGTTCTCGACTAATAATTCGTAAAAAACGAACAAAGCCCACTATATTATTTATTCATAATTAAATTACTAACTAATTATTAATAATTATTACTAGAACACTTTTAGGATCATACGTATGATTTTTTTACATTTCTGGGTAATGATTTCATTCGCAATCCATTTACAAAATACTTTGAGTGTACAAAGATTGTGAACTTCAAAAAAGTACACATGTATTAAAATCTATATTATTTAATATTTTTTTTTATTTTACTTGAACATTTATTTTCATAATTAATAAATTCTATGATATCAAATACCTCTAGTTCCCAAAAATGCTTAATGCAGTCTACATTCGAACTAAAAAAACAAATGTGTTTATAGATGTATTATTATTCAATACTATGACATAGATTAATTCTCTTTCCTCTTTTAATTTCAGTCTACCGGCTCTGGCGGATCAAAATTCCACCACTAAAAGCTTTGCGAATAACTTCAAACTTGAACCCAATCTCAGCGCCAAAGAGTTTAACACTAGCCAAGCAGAAAATGGAGATTCACAGCCCACACGTAAAAAATCCAAGAAACGTGTACAATTCAGCGATGCACTAAATGGCTTCCCTAAAATGAAGGATTTTTCAAATTTCGCTATGAAAGCAAAGAAACATGACCAGAAAATGAAAAACGTTGGCAGTAATGGCGACTTACTACCGGAAGTACTGGACTGCCGCATAGCTGAAAAAATAAAAAGCGAACTTGAAGAAAAATCTGCATCAAAAGAATCACTACCAAATGCGCTATGCCTAAAGAAAGGTGATGAACAGAGTGATGAGGAAGACGACGATGACGAGAACACTAATGCTGGCGCATCGACCATTACAGATGCAGTCGATGGCATAAATGGTCAAAACAGTAATTTCCGTATGCGTATCAAAAATAAGAAAAATAGCAAAGGCATGGCACCACCCAATAGTTACAATAATCTGAACGCGAATCCAGAAGATGATGAAGATGAAGGCGAAGACAGTGAGTGCGACGATGATGATGAGGAAATGGATGAAGAAGCAATGGCCCGTGAAATGAAAAATGAACAAAACTTTGTTGAAGAAGAAGATGAACATGACATTGCTTTCCGTTCGCATCAATCGTGTCGTGAATGCTCCATCACACACGACCAAAAAATGTGTCCGCTGCGTAATGCTATGAGCACAATAACAGATGCAGTAGACTTAGCCGAGTGGATTGAACGTAAAAATTTGGAAGCATTGGCCAAACTGAAAGCAGATGCACATAGACATGCGAAACAAGATCACGATGATGATGAGGACATGGATGAGACTTCTCAAATGTCGGAATTGGAAACAAAGCCATTAATAACATTTGCCGAAGCTTCTGTGCCAGCAGAATTTGAGTTGCATAATGTGGAACCAAATGTAACCGGGGTATTTGTGCGTAGTGAGGTAAGAGCATTTACAAAACTAGGTCCGCTAATTGGTCAAAAGGTGGAAACGACTGAGGTACGTGAAGGCAGTGATATGAAGTGGATATTTGAAATATGTGAAGCTGGCGCAGAAAAATCACAATTGTTGAGTTGTGAAAATCCGAACACGTCAAATTGGTTGCGTTACATACGACCAGCGCCCACCTATGATGAACGCAACGTCAATCTGGTTTCCATTGAGCGACAAGCATATTTTGTTACATGTACAGAGGTTAAAAATGGCATGGAGTTACTTTACTGGAGTGATGAGTGTAACACAATGTGGCGAAAAAAGCACACGGAAAAGATAAGTGAGTGCAGTCAATGAGTTATGAAATGATGTCTTACACAAATTATTTAAAATCCCTTTTTTATTATTATATGAACTTAATAAATCGCTTTTATTTTAGATTGTGGCGGTTGCAATTTGAAATTTGACCATCCACTTTATTATCGTACACACTGCTCCGTGTTTCATGATCCTTCAATGAGCCTAACCATACGCAAATATCATTGTAAGGTATGTGGCGAGGCAGTGCTGGGCAAGGATAACATTACCAAGCATGCGGCGGAAAAGCATGATGGAAAGGGTGCATATCAGTGCCAGTTTTGCAACAAGTTCTTCTTGCGTCTCAACTACCTTGAAATGCACCGCACATACGGTTGTGCCGCAAATCCAAATCGGGCACGTCCGTTGTGTGATTTTTGTGGTCGCAAATTTTGCCAACCACAGAAATTGAAAGCTCACATTAAACGAATGCACAGTGGTAAGAAGGCTCAAAGAGAGTCCTGTAGTAACAGTAGTTAAATAGTTTGCTACAAAATATATACATATGAGCATACGTATATAGTATAATAAATTTGTATGTATCTTAACTATGTAGTTAATGTAGTATATTTGTATATTTGAAGCTATGTTGTATGTATTCGTATTTTATAGATATGTATGGTATATGAATTTCATAA